AAAGGGATGAACCTGAAAAACATCATGCTAAGCAAAAGACACCAGCTACAGAAGATGACATAGTATATGATTCCATTTTTATGAAATGTCCAGAAAAAGCAAATCTATAGATACAGAAATTAGATTAGTGGTTGCCTGGGGGTGGGCTGGAAATAGGGATTGATTATAAATGGGCACAAGGGATTTGGGGGGTGATGAAAATATTTTAAATTGGGATTGGCGTTAATAGTTAAAAATTTCCAATTGGGGAAAAATTATTGGAACATTTTCCTTGGACCAGGTAATTTTAAGGGAAGGTAGGTACAACCTAATTAAGCTTGTTTAAAAAATTTTTGAACCCCTTTAATCCAATTTACCAAAAAAATATATATTTTTTATCTCTTGGGACAAGTAAAACAGCAGCAAAATCAATACTGTGACACAAGACATCCAGTCTTGGAGCCATGGACAAATCAAGCAAGATTTGGTGAGTTTAAATCTGCTCGGGTCTGACTCAGGGCTCAGTCTAGGGGTTAAATCATTGAAGCTGAAATAAGCATACGTAATTGCACTTGGATTTGCATTTCTTTTATTCTCAATCCAAACTGTACTTCAGTTGTTAATAGGTGATGACTGTTCATGAAAGTTAAGTTTTCTTTTACAGCCAGAAATAATGAGGTCTATTCTCATAATTGAGGGGGAAGCTAACTGCTTTCTCAGTGATGCTAAAGAGATACCTGGGACGCAGTCCCTGCTTCACTAGATGTTGTGGGACCTTAGGTGAGTCATGAATCTCCCTTTGCCTCGGTTTCCTTATAAGTAAAGTCAGGGATGATAGAACCTACTTCCATAGTTCAATTAAGTATTAAGTAAGACAATACATGTAAAAATGAGTGTCCTGGCATTTGGCAAGGGCTCAATAAACAGAGCTGACTGTTGTTGTTATCAGTATTACTACTATTGGTTATTATATACCGCAGTGCCAAATAAAAATGTATACAAGTGGACACTTTGGTCAACGTTGCTCAAGCAGTAGTTCGCCATAATCAGAAGTGTCTGGATGCTGATGGTCACCACTTTGAGCACCTCTTGTAATTGCAGAGGTCAACCATGACTTGTATTCATGTTTTGTTATTGGTTTATATTGAGTATTACAATATTAATCGTTTGTTCCTTTTGTAAAATGTGTATACATTTTCTTGGCACCCTCTGAATATTTAAAGTATATTATAGAGTATATATATATTATATGTCACCTATGGGAAGCCTCCCTATTCTAGCATTTTGCTCCAGCTTTGTGCCCTGGTAGCAGTGGTCAAGATCTCAGGTACGGTGTCTGGAGGGCAGAAGCACTCTGTGAAATCCATTCCAGCCAGGTAAATGGACACAGCCAGAGGCCATCCTCAGTAAACATTTCCGTTTGATTTATTCACTCTCTTTCCACCTTGGGGGGAGACACTCCTCACACGAGACCCTCAGTGCCATCCCCCACCCCCAGGCTTTCCTGTATGTGAGTCCCTAGTCTTGAAATCTCCTTAGTGAGTTTCTCTCAGATGTTCCACCAACTGCATAAAATATTCCACCTTGCCCACGTCTGCCTGTAACCTCTCATTTCACATACTTGGCAAGATTTCCCCATGGTGCCCCATCTCCCTCTCCCTGGCTCTAAGTAAATTAATTAGCAAGAGTGGGCTTTAATGAGTTTGTCTTCATGGCTGACACCCCTGCTGACATGCAGGGTTTCCAGGGAGCAGGAGCTGTGCCTTCTACTCCTCCAGCTTTGTACCTATCCCAGTACTCTGTGCAGAGATTATCGAAGAGAGCACTGCCCAGAGGATAAACAGTGTGGCGACAACCACAGTGTCACAAAAATATTAATAATAAATGCCCATTAAGCACACACTACAGGACCCACAGGTCAGCACATCGAGTCCAACTACAGGTCCCAGAACTATAGTCGTAGAATGAAGGACACCACATGAGTGCCTAAGCTTAACCAAGTAGTAGATGACAAGAAATTTCCCTATACAGAAGCATTCCAGCTCAAAGATAAGGACTCTTTTAGCATAAAGCATAACCACAGCAGCACTATCAAATGAAGAAGGAATGTGAGAATTCAAATATTACCATTTCAGGACCCCTAATGAATGAGAGACAACCAGACAGCATGTGTCCCCTGATGGAAGTACACCGTCCTATCTATGAAGTCATCTTGCCAAGTAAAGAAAAAAAATTGGAACCTGACCGAACTCTTAGATGAAAATGTCTATTGGGACCAGCCGAGTGGCTCAGTTGGTTAAGAGCTCGCTCAAGAGTTTGAGCTCTGAGCAACAGCGGTTCGATTCCCGACTTGAGCTGAGCTGCTGCTAAGCTGCCAATAGGTAGCAGGATGACTCAGCTAAAAAAAAATAAAAAAATGTCTATCGGCAGGACATAGATAGGACAGAGGGGTGCGTGAAACTACACCACATTTCCTGAATGCCATCAGGAAAGTCCAGACTGGGGGAAACCAATAATGCAGTGTCTTCAGCAAATACATTGTAGGGAAAAAGGAGATGGAGGGGTCCCCTACAACTTAAAAATGACTAGTGTCACATCAACCGATACCAGCCAGCTGAATTGCATAGTCCTAATGGAAATCCTGATTCAAACAAATTATTTTAAAAATTGTATAACACATATGAGACACTTGGGAATTCAAACAATAATCAAACAATAATCAGATATTTGATGATATTGATGAATTAATTGTTAAATGTTTAGATATAATAATAGTGTTGTGTTTTTAAAGAATCCTTGCCTTTTATAAATAGGTATGAAGTCTGTGTAGATGATACATGATGCCTGGGATTTACCTAAAAATAGTAAGGAGGCATGGAAGAGGGGGAAGCATAGACGAAACCAGACTGGCCATGGGTTAAAGCTGGGTGATGAGTGCTGGGGGGGTCACTGTACTACTTTTAATATGCTTGTCATATTCTATAATAAAAGATTCAAACAAATTCCTAGAGGTGTTGCTCTCTAAGTTTTAATTTATAATCATCATTGCTATTACCAGATTTCACCTGATTTAAGACATTATCAGTTGCAAGATGCACTATTATTTTAAGCACTGTCAAGAAAAAACAAAATGCTGCCGATTAAATGATAGGCCATCATTTGTAATATGCATCCCAATTTCAGAGCTGTTAACATGGAAAGAACATGTGTCTTAGAATCAATGGGCAATAATAATAATAATATCATTATTATTATTATTATTATTATTATTAACTGTGGCCAGCACTTAAACATTTACAAGGAACTAAGCTCTGTACAAACATCCCCTTTAATCTCATAACAACCTTATGAAGAAGATGATATCCATCCTCATTTTATGAATGAGTAATGAGTCCCAGAGAAGTGAAATAATTTGCCCAGGGTCACACAGCCAACAAGAGGCATAGCTGGGATACGAACCCAGGATTGTCTGACCCAGAGCCTGTGCTCTTTCTGCCATAAGAGGCCATTTCCAGTGAGCAAAAGGCACAGGGCAAGACAGTCACCTGTACCTGGAGGCTGCTAGCTCCCCCTAGGGGTGTGGCGCACTCACAGAGTCTGGATGGCCCTCAGAGAGGTGAAAGTGCCCTTGGCGAGACTCTGGATCTTGTTGTCATACAGGGAGAGAAGGGAGAGGTTCTGCAGGTCCTGGAAGGCATCGGGCCGGATGCAGTTGATCTTGTTGGCGTTCAAGAGCCTGTGGGCAGAGCCAGGGCCAGGTGGTAAGAGGAGAGGCACAGCATCGGACTCGTCAACATGTCCTGGCACCTTCCTGGGCACTGAGCAGGCACAGGGCATCAGGGCATCTGGCCCTCTGGGTGTCTACTCCACCCAGAGTAGCTGAGACCTCTGACGGCCCTCTCCGTGAACACAGGGACCATCTTAGCCTCCCACTCTTCTCTCTTTCAAGAAACTGCTAGAGGAGCTTCTAGAGGTACCCCACGGGATTCTCAGTCAGCAGAGAGTATAGTGGCAAAGCCACCTCCCAAAGGCATCAGGGGGCTCCTTCTCTTTCACAGAGTTCTGCTGGGTTCCCCAGGGAGCTGAGATGGAGCATTTGGGCTCCATGCCTCTTGGATCCTGAGAAAGAACACTTGCTTGAACTCTCATGGTTCAAGGAGGGTGAGCTGGGCCTGGGTGTCCCCCTGCAGGAGACAACTCTCTCCCCAGCCGTGCTGAGCTCCTCAGAACACAGGCCGCCTCTCAGGAGCCTCTCAGCTCAGGTATTCTGTCATCGGCTCTGAGTTGCCTCTCCCTCCCTCTCTGGCCTCTGCAGAGCCCCGTAGCCTCTACAGCACTACTAGATCTGCAGTCCTCCAAGCTCCTTGGGTCAAGTGAGCCCCACACCACAAAGAGGCTAAAAAGGCCAGTCTGAGAGGCCAGAGGAATACTGGCCTCCTCCTAGGGCCCCACCCAAGAAAACCTCCGGATGGGTCCTTACAGAAGCTGCAGGGTGTACAGGCCTCCAAACACACCCCGGGGGAGGTCTGTGATCTTGTTCCCATAGAGGACCCTGAAGAAAAGGCAGCAGAAAGGAAGAGTTAGAGGACAGCCCACCAGGCCAGGCATTGCTCTGCAAGTAACACACCACCCAATGGCACCACCACCACTAAGCTGTCGTAGCCATGAGGGTTGCTATAACAAACTGTCAGCAGGTGGCAGTAAAGTGCATGTTAACAGGATTGCCTGTTTCTAATTTGCACAAAGGTATCCTATGGGCTGCAGGCAGCCATGATCCCCATGACTGCAGGTGCAGCCCCCCCCCCACACTCCCTGTCCTCACACATGGATCCCACAGAAGTCTGCAAAGGGACCATGTGGGGAACCTCATGGGAAATTACCCCAGTCTGGGATCCAAAAGGAAACTGTTCAAAGAAGAGGAAATTCCATAATCAGGAATAGTTAACACCTTTTCAGAGAATAACAGGGAAACACTCAAGCCAGACAACACATGTGGTATGAGCTCCAGCATGTCAAGTGAGTCTGTCCGGCAGAGAAAAAACACCAGAAAGAAACAGACCAAAGTGCTAGCTGAGCTGAGATCTGGATGGTGGGATTGCAAGTGGGGTTTTTGTTTGTTTGTTTGTTTGTTTTAGCTGAGCCATCCTGCTACCTTTTGGCAGCTCAGCGGCTGCTCAGCTCGGGCCGGGACTCGAACCGCTGTTGCTCAGAGCTCAAACTCTTGAGCGAGCTCTTAACCAACTGAGCCACTCGGCCGGCCCGCAAGTGGGTTTTTTATATTTTCTTAATTTTAGTCATCTCCATTGAGCATGAATTCCATGTAATAAGAAAAAAAGTAGAAGTTCAAAAAAGACATGCAGGAAAGAGTGGGTTCAGGCAGCAATGAAAGAGTCAAGGGGGTTTGGGGAGTGGGGTGTATTTTATTCCTAATATCACAAGCAGCCCCTAACCCTCCCCCCCCTCCCCCAACACATTCAGGATGAACAAAAACAGTGTGTTCCATCTCTTCAAACATGGCATCCAGATCGGTCCCGGAGGAGATCATGCAGGAGCCAAGTCCCTGCAGTGGGATCTGGGTTGGCGGTGGGAAGAACCCCAGTGTGGCTTGAGTGGAAGAAACAAATGGGACAGAAGCTTGGATTCCACCCAGTCAGCATCAGGGAGCCCCTGAAACATGATCAGCATTTGGGAAGACCTCTCAGTCTGTTGTGTGGAGACGGCAGGAGTTGATGCAAGCAGACACGGTCAGGGCTGGACAAGGTGGACTCTGTCAATGGACATTGTCAATGAGATCTATTTGCATGACCTCAGCACAAAAGCTCTCATATGGTAGGGAGGTGGCTGCGACCAGGTACCCAGGAACACCCATCAGAAACCCACTTAGAGGGGTTACTGACATGTCCAGCATAGAAGGAGATTCATTTATAGAGGAAGAGCCATGCATTTTGGCAGGCACCTCTAGGATCTGATCTCCTCAGCCCATGACAGCGATCCTTCACCAGACCATCAGGTACAGCTGTGTAAGTTGTACACTGCACTACCTAAGCAGTGTCATTCACAAGAGTTCACTACCTCGGACTCTGCTCCAAGAGTAGAGGGTGCATATAAAAGGCATGATCTGGCTGCCTCCTGCACGCACCAAGGAAGAGTTCCATTCCGTTCCACTTCCCAGGTCCCTAGTCTATGTGAGGCAAGTGTCTGTCCAGTGCTGCCAAGGGACAGGTGAAAACACTATTCCTAAGAGTAACAAAAGGCCCTACCAGCAGGGAGCTCATCTAACAACATGGCACCCTGAGTGCACTCTTTGTATAGAGAAAGTACCGTGAGACCTTAGAGAGTAAGGAGCTTGGTGAACGTGGGGGTGTGAGCAAGCGTTCTTGAAAAAAGAGAGCTGAAGTAACATTTCCGAGATGAGTTTTTGATGCTGCATGACATTTTGTAGATTGACAAACCCCCACCCCCACCCCACCCCAAATAAACCCTTGAGGAATGGGGAATACTGAAAGAGGTGGAAGAAAACGCTGTCTTCACATTACCCACCACAACTTGGAATCAGAACATGTTGGGGACGAAAGATACAGGTGTGACAGATGTCACAACTGGAGCTGGTGTTTTCAGCCCTGGTAGGTGATCTGGGGAAGGCTCAGGAGCAGAGAGTGCAAGGCCTCTGTGGCGAGGCAGGGCCCACATGAACGCTGGGCCAAGTCAGATGACTGCCTCAAAGAATGCTGGGAAAATCCCCACCATGGCAGGGAGAGCATCACAGTTGCCAGGGGCAACAGTTCTGTCTAGATTTTCCATGCACTCAGTCCTTGATTCCTTCCTCTCCCTCCCAGGAGCAGATGGTCCACCAGCGAGGAAGGGGGTAATGGGCACAGCAACCCTGGACTTTGCAGCCAAAGGGAGACTCCTGAATGCCAGGGTGAGCAGGGTCTGTGCTGTCCCTCCAGCACCCACTGGAGGGGCCTGAGGCCCTGCTAGCCTCCTCGGGGGACACTCTGAACTCCCACAGGAGCCTTTGTGCTGCTACTCACAGCGAGTTCAGGGAGCGGAGACCCTGGAAGGCGTCAGGCGCGATCTCTGCTATCTGGTTGTTGCTCAGGTCTCTGCAAGGTGAGCAGAAGAGGGGGTGGCTGAAGTCCTCAGAGTCCATAAAGCCCTTCCTGATCCTCTCTACCTTCCAGGCACGTGGGAGGGCAGGGGCTTCTTTGCAATTAGAAAAGGGAGGGGCTCGTTCTCCCATCCATCTGAAAAACCTACAGCCACTGTCTCCCTGTGCAGTCCAAGGTCGGCACAGGCGGGACACTCCAGCCTCAGTCTCTTCTTGACAAAGTTTTACCCCGCTTCCCAGCTGTGCCCCTACACCCCCTCTCAGGTCCACAATGGCTCCTATTGGTGCCCAAGCTGAAATGGGAGGGTGACAGTCAGCTGTGGTCAAATGCCGGAATGGGGCTCAACATTTAGGCCTCAGGACAACCTTGTGAGGAGGTCACACCACTGCCATCCCGACATCACCCATGAACCGCCTGAGGGGCAGAAGGCCAGGCAAGCAGCTCGCCCAGAGCCTCTCAGCCGCTGGAGGCAGTCGGGACCTGCCCGGGGCTGTGGCGTGCCTGGTCCAGGCTCTTCCTCCTGCCCCACGCTGACTCTCAGGAAGCAGCCGGAGCACTCACATCCTCCGAAGCTTTCTGTAGGGAGAGAAGGCTCCTGGGGGGATGGACTTGATCCCGTTGAGCTCCAGGCGGCTGCAGGGACAGAACACAGAGGAGGCCTCAGGTCAGGTCACCCCAGTCCAGGCTGCTGCCTGCTGGGCTCACCCACCCAGACTGGGCTCTTTGCCCCTCCTGCCCTGCTCCCATCCACTCTGGAATAGGTGGGCTGGCACAGGCAGAAAACGGGGGCTGCTGTGATGTGAGCTCCATTATCCCAGGCTGCCGTGGCTGAAAGGGGCCTACAAATGATGCGAATACTAAAAAAAAAATTCTAGCAGACTTACCCAACTGGGCTGGACAGATGGACCCCAGAGGAACACCCACTTCCCATCCCTCCAGAGTTGCTCAGCCTTGGGCAGAGTTCAGCCAGCTGAGGCAAACCGTCTTCTCCATTTGCACTGAAGGGCCTTGGGAAAAGCCCTTGGGTGGCTCTTTGCTGGACCACCGGAGCCTATGTCCCCACACCTGCCCTGCCCTGTACTCACATCTCCGTCATGGTCTCAGGCAGGTTGGCAGGGATGGCGGTGAGACCTTTGCCACGACAGTCCACAATGCCATTGCTGCAGGCACACATCGCCGGGCAGGAGCCGGAGGAGAGGGTGCAGGAGGGCACGCGCCCTGCCTCCCCCTGACCTGCGGAAACAGTGGGCTGTGACCTCAGGTGTCTCATGTCAGCACCTCCCTCCCAAGATGCAGACTGATGTGCGTGGATGGGGCACAGGGTGCCTCTCCGGATGAGGATCAACAAGAGATCACGAAGGACTCCGACGTAACTGCGTGGGCCCTGGCACATAGCAGGTCCTGGTTAGATGTTTGCTGAACTTGACTCTGAGCATAACTGTGCTGCGTGAAAGTGTGATTCACATGCTTGGAAATCCTAGCCTAAATTCTGAAGCTCCAGGTTTTCGTCCAAGCCACTCAGCATTTTTGAGACTGAGTCTCCTTGTCTGTGACCTGAGGATGACAAGGACAGTATTTGCTGAGCGCTCACTCTGTGCCACATGCTGTGATACGTGTTATACATGCAGCATCTCCTTTAGTCCGACTGCTCAGCCTGGGGGGAGCGTGATATTATTGTGGCCATTTTACAGGTGAGAAAACAGAGTCCTTGATATGAATTAATTAGTGGGAAATCACACAGCTACTAGGTGCTAAAGCCAGGATGAAGCCCAGGGTCTGATAAATTATTTTAATTGAAGTATAACATATAAAGTGCACTGTCTTGAATGTATGGCTGTATACACCCACAGAACCGACCCCCAGATATAGAACATTTCTATCACCCAAAAAGGCTCCCTCATGCCCCTTCTGCAAGGTAACCCCTATTCTGAGATCTAGCACCACAGATTTGCTCTGCTCGCTTATGGACTTCACATAAACGAAATCAGACAGAAGGTTCTCTCGTGTCTGGCTTCTTTTATTCAATGTAAAATCTTTGTGTTTCACCCACATTGTATGTATATCAGTAGCTTGTTCTTTTTTATTGCTGACTAGTATTCTATTGAATGGGCAGGTCATAATTTGTTCATCTACTGTCTTGCTGGTGGACATCTGGGTTGTCTCCAACTCTGGGCTGTTACGAAAAAAGCTGCCTTGGGTTTTCTTGGACACGTGTTTGGCAGAGCATATGCACACCCGTGGAGTTGGGCTTTAGTAGATTCTGCTATACAGTTCTGAGAAGTAGCTGAGCAAATTTACATTTCCACCAGCATTTTAACCTCTAATCCTTTCCTTGGCTCTCCCAAAGATTAAAGGAAACAAAGCTATGAGGACTTCTGACAAGTCGTGAAAGTACCCTTCTCAGGAAAGGGGTTGTCAGGGCGAACAGACTCCAGAAGAGGAGGGGGGGAAATGCCTGAATATAGAAACCAAGGTATTCCAAATGCAAAGAAAAAGTTTCATTTCAAAATAAGAACTACCTATTCCTCTTCCTAAAACCTAAGGGCAGCTGCAATTGCCCAGAGGAGCCGCGCCAGCCTTGGCTCTCCCCACACACAAGTACATACCCCTGCACGCACACACGCTCACACACGCATTCTCACACACACCCTCACACATACACATTCACATACTTACTCTCTCCAAATATACCCTCACACACTCACACACACCCTCACAGATGCTCACATGGTCACACACACACACACACACACACACTCTCTCTCTCACACACACACAGCAGCCCTGAGTACAGCGGTGTTCAAGGGCAGCCTCACGAGCTGCCAGTGCTGTGGAGGACGTGACAGCCACCCCCTCCCCAGGGCCTCACACTGAGGAGAAGCGGAGTCCAGTAGACCCTTTTCCCTCAGAGTTCTATGTGGCCCCCTGGGCTCAAAGCCCATAGGTTTAGGAGAAATGGGCAGCCCCTAATCCTCCGCTGTGAATCTGAAAAGCGTTCATTCACTCAGCAAACATTTCTTGAGCATCTCTCTGTGCCAAGCACAGGCCAAGTCCTGGGGACATGGCCAGAAACCACAACACATGGGTTCCATGTGTTCACGGAGCTTACAGTCCATCAGGGACCTGCCCTGGGGTCAGAGAAGGCTCGCTGGGCTCTGTGGAGTGAGGAGGAGTTGGCAATCACCAC